TATATATATATATATATTATAGCTAAATTTCTATATTTCAACAAAATTGTTTTTTTCGTATATAATAAAGAATTTTATGTTACTGATACAATTACTTACCTATATAATATTCATTTTTAGACTATATAGGGTAACTCCGGTATATACGCCGCATCTATCAAAAATTTAATTTATCAAATATTATTTACTCGTTTAAAATAAACGAATTATATCAGTAAAAACTTTATACTGTCTACTACTATAAAAAAAAATATTAGAAATCGGAATTTTTTTTTTCTGCGGCGTAAATCTCAGTGCGGCGTATTTGCCGGAGTTTGCCTAATATGTTCAGAATTTTGCGTATAACACTTTGATTTACAATAAGATTGGAGAAACCGGGGCAAGTTGTTACACGGGATAAGTTGTTACAGTTAGTTTTTTTAGTTGTCACAGATGGCAGCATATGAATTTTTATGAATTTTTATATGTGATTCTTATAATACTCTACAACTTCATTTAATTTAGCCGCTATATTTGAACTTTAGAAGACGCTACGTATGTGTTCTTGATTTCCATTATTAAAAGTAAATATTTTATTGTATAAATCGCTTGTGTTATTGTACATATATAGTTAGAGGTATGTGATTATCCTTTTGTATATTTCTTTTATATTATACATTTCGTTATAATAACACATTTTATTTGAATCGATATATGTACTGGTTTTCGATTTGTATTGTTTCAAATTGAAAATGGAAGATTGGGGCAAGTTGTTACACTTCGATCGGGGCAGATTGTTACAGTGTAACAACTTATCCTATTAAATTTTTTTTTTTACAGAATACATGCAGACGAAATAGACAATCTATAAACTTAACTGTTGTGCAACCGTTTTATGATTGTCTGCTGAGATAAGATCATTTTTCTAGATCTAAAAGTATAATCCAATCAGAACGAAGAAAACTTTCAACAGTTGCAAAATAAATGTTCTGCTGAACGCAACCCATGTTTGAAGACAACGCTGGGCAGTGTCATATTTGTGTATATTTCACTCTGACATGTGTAAATCATACAGATAATAAATAATAACGTTAGTGTTTTCATATAAATTTATGCGATATTCACAGACGGGACATATACATACGCATATGTGAATTGAAACAAGGACAGCTCGGAATCAAGTTTATTTCTTTCTATCATTGAGTTAGCTGTCTAATTATAAAAGTCTGTGGAATGATGCGATTTGACAAAGAAAAAGCAAGTACAGGATCTGTAAATGTAAAAACATATGCGACAGATATATATATATATATATATATTTTTTTATAATATATATTAAATTTTATATTATAAAATAAATATTCCCTGAAATATTTCGAATTTAATTTCATTGTAATCTTAAATTTGCTTATATATATATATATTTTAAGTGATACTGTAAATGTAACAACTTGCCCCACCCTTGCAGAAAAGTACTACTGAGCATTAGGAATATTTTGAGGCACTACTATACTACAGCACTACAGCACTATTGTACTATTCCACTACTATAATGAGTACTAGTATACTACTATGTTGAGTAATGCTATGATCTTCTACGCGGATCCGTATAAAGAGGTATATGTAAATGAAATCCGTCACTTAGCTCGATTAGAGTGTGTTTGTAGAGTCTCTGAAAGTGCTTTTTTTAAATAGAGTTATTAATAATTAGTTTCTGTAATACATAATCGTTTCCTGCATTTTATATCTTGCCGAAACGCGGATATATAGAACATCTTAGCACTACTCAGCACTACTGAACACTTCCGCACTACTACAGTAGTGCCTCAAAATAGTCCTAGTGTTCAGTAGTACTTTTCTACAAAGGCAGCTCATCATATAATACACCAAATAATACATATGTATTATTTGGAGCGTTCCAAGGTCTTGACGACACGCACCGAGCACGCATCTCATTCAGAAAAGGTCCGGAGGACTCGACTACTTCCGGGGTCGAAGACGTTGATGATCGGTCTCGTTGATGATTGTCCGTTCCCACTTCAACTGTCACCAGATTTTTATCCTTCTTTGGTTTGATGTCCTCCGGCCTAGAGTGGAAAAAAATGCAATATGGTTTATCTGATACGGAAATTCATTTCGTTTCGACTCGATTCCGGAACTATGAGAGCATGTCTGTAAGTACGCTGAGATTCGTGCGAGCTAATATCTTGCACATTTTTCTTAATCAGAGATTGATTTAGTTAGAAATGATTGCTCGATCAACATCGATCAACATTGATGCTAATTCAACGTCGATCAACTAATCATTCTGGTTGCAAACTAATTATTATAATCGCAAGAATTATGTCTCTTATATATTTATAGTTCCGAAGTCGATATTTTTCTCCTCTGGTGAAAAAATTTCGCTGCAATTATTCCACGTTTTTATCCAACATTTCAACGAAATTGCTGAAAGTAAATTTTTCATCTAATATATTAAAAAAACACTGAAATTGAACTGATTTGAAATTTTGCTAAAATTTTGCTAAAAATGAGTTTTTTGATAAACAATTGCAGAAATTAAACTGAAATTTTTCTGAAATGCTGAAATTTTGCTGAAAAGTGTTTTAAAACATGGAATTTCAGCGAAATTTTTCCACTAGGGGAGTAATTAACAAATTAATAAAAATCATTGACTGCCAGCTTTAAGCTTCATGTACAGCAATGAATAACTTATATGTTGCTTTCTAGAGTCTCGTATCATAAACTTGACTCTAGAAAGCAATATATAAGTATTGAATGAGATCATAACTACACATGCTCCGAACTTTCTAGTTTGGCAGAGTTGCGAATGTTTCGAGATGTATGTATTTAAGTACTCAGTCAGAAACAATTCCTCGAAAAGATGTCATTTCGACGTCTTTCCGAGGAACTGTTCTGATTGGATAATGTCAAATGATGAAGAGCAGCTCTAAATTCTGTATGAAGTTTCTGCATGGCTGATTATGCGATAGTGTCCAAAAAAATTTTTTTCGCGCAACGCCGTTACATTTTGCATACATGAACGTACAACGCAATACTTGTATAACCGGTCACAGAAAGGTTGCAACACCTTTTTTTTCGATGGGTTTCGGAATGTAGTCTACTCAAGGAGCGATTGGTTCTTATTTGTGGATCCATGAATAAGAACCAACCGCTCGATGAGCAAACTGTATTCGGAACCCTATCGAAAAAAAGGTGTTGCAATCTTTCTGTGACCGGCTATATAAGTATTATGTTGTACATGTATGCAAGATGCGGCGTTGCGCAAAAGTAATGTTACGCATCATAAAATAAAATTCCTGAATGGAAATATAGAACATTATGTTCAATTTCCTTACTTTGTACCATCTCTTCAGAAAGATTCGGACAATATTTGAATGTGGTACAGTTTTATTGTACTACATTCAGATATTGAATATTTTCTGGTTGAATAAACAATACGGTCTCGACATCAAGAACTGATCATCGATGTCAAGCGTCGATATCTCGCTGGGAATTTTATTTGTATGATAACACACAGTAGGGAGAGATGCGACTAATGATAGGCAGACACATTACTCACGATGCAGCGCGATGCAGAAGTGATGCACCGTGGTGCTAATTAATGCTTGCAGGTATGATCCAGTGAGAAATGACAATAAAATCAATGTCGATTCCATAATCATTTCTCACTAGGGACGCGACACTAATGTCACGTGCACAGGAAACACTAATGAGTGCTCTAATGCCCGCTCTGGCGTGGATCCAATGACTAGGCCACAAATGCCAGAAGAATATATCTTGCCTGAAATCGTAATTGATTCTCTGCGATGGCGTATTATACCTGCGCATTGCCAGCAGCCTCGGCAGCAATTGGATGAACACGCGTCGGACCCACGGCTTCATTACGTGGGTTTGCGGCGAACGGTAATGCACATTTATGACCACCACTGTTATCCATACGCTGTAAAACACGAAAGAAAGATGCTGAAATGTAATAAGACAATTCGTGATCGAGTTAATTATTCAATAGTCCCTAACTGTGTTAATTTCAAATTAAACACGATTAAATTAAACAGGATAGTTCACACATAATTAAAAATATTTAGTTATGAGCAATATAGAAACATCATCCTAGTTATTTTTATGTGATAGGAATGTGTATAGTTGATACGATTTATTTACTTTGATGTGTCAACTACATCAATGTAGTTAGGCACGATCCGGTTGTGACAACCAAAACTTAGTTGGGGAATTACTTACTATGGATAAGTTATATATCCGTATAGTTGCGTCAATCGTGATATAAAGCATGATAAGTATTAAATTATTAATAAAAATTAATTTCTTGTTACATCATGTTATAAATAAAGTTGCAATTTCAAAAAGCAAAAGCGACTCATCACACTTACTAGTTAAAGATATGTATATGTGAAATGCTCATTATTCTAAGTACACATATATACATATCTAGTTGTGTGCATAGTTTGAACCGTATTTGTTTTTTAGAATTTGCAAATGCAACGGCTTACAACACACGCGTCGATTGATATCGTGAAAAGGCTTTTTGTTTTGTTATTGCATTATGGATGAACGTTGTAAGAATACGCTAAAACACATGAAACTGTCGCATCTTATTGCATTATTTGAAGGTATGAATAATAAAAAAGTTATATCTGGAAATACAATGTTTAGAAGGTTATATACAAGTGCATGTTTAGAAAATGTTATTTTGTCCACATATTTACAGAAAAACAGATTGATTATGAAACTTTAAAATTTTCCCAACTATCCCGACACAATTCCGACGACAATTCTGTCATAAGCAATATAAGCGATCAACTAAAATTGAGAAAAGGGATAAAGTTTTATTATTGATTTTGTAAAGTGATTCTAGGATAGAAATTCAGTTAAGGTATTTCTCCGACTACACTCGCGTTAGAAAGTTAATACATACAACCTACAAACCTATGCCTCTCCGCTCATGCTCTCTGAAGAGAGAAACTTTTGAGGCGAGCGTACACACTCACGCATAAATGTCGTATCTGCATGAATACTAGTCCGCACTGAAGATAGTTGAAGTCAACAGCATGTCCTTGTTTCGCTCGGCGTGCGAGAAGGAGAATTTTCTATCAAATTACATATTTAAACTACTCTAATTGGCACCTCAGAAATGGCACCACTAGACCTCCCCATTTTTTAAATGAAGTTCCTGTAATTATTTCTACATTACATATTTATTTTTTTAAAAAATCTGTAAAAGATTTTCGCCTCAAAGTATTACAATGTTACTTCGACAACGCTTGGTATACGAGTTTAAAGCTTGTTAAAAGCTGAAACTTTGAAGGTGAATATCTCCCTTTCAGCACCGCCGCTAGAGTCTTTGAAATTTTAAATATATATAGATAAAATTATTTCAAACATAATAATATTCAAATTTCAAACAAATCTGTAGAAACTCAATTTCTCGGAGAAATATCTTAATAACAGATGAGATAGGCACATCTTTTTCTCATCTGTATTTGTATTGCTTATGTTAGTTTAATTCGGAATTTTTTTACCTTTAAGGAAAATGAGAACATACAAGAGCAAACTGTACAGATGTAATTATAGACTATATCAGTGATTTCACCTTCCACTTCAATAAATTAATTTTCAGAACCATATTTGATTTATCTTCATCAATAGCATCATAGAGATAAAGACATTAGAAACAACCTCAGGTTATGTTTGGAAGAAGTTATAGAACACAATAACCCAATAATACTAAATGATAATAATCCTTCGGAAAATGTAAATTTTTAATTTCGTTCTTGAATAATTTTCCAATATAATGATGAATAGATTAGCTAATGTAATAGATAGAATCTCACATTAGATTAATACGAGATGTAGATTAGTTTAATTAATAAGATTTGTTTTAATTTTTAGTATTTATGAGATTCTCCAAAAAACAGGAAAAGCTATACTTGAATTCTATAAGCAATCTATTTTAGACAATAATGCACGATGTAAATTAGCTGAACTGATCATACAAGCAGAATATGATGCAGACACTAACTAAGTAAGTAAGTATTAGTATTTAATTTAGAAGTTTATTTTTAAGCTCATATACAGGGTGATCCACTTAAATAGACCATCTGAAATATCTCGCTTATTTTTGATATAAAAAAATTTCAAATAAAAGTGCAAGAGTTTCAAGGGAGACATATTTTGGTCATGTTGTTCTTTTTTAGGTGGAGGCGTCAAAAAGATATGAAGATTATGTACTTTTTTAAATCGAATTATATGATTTTTTTTTACACAATATGATTCCTTTAATTATTTTGCATATAAAAGGTATTAAGGTAGTGATATCAAAAAAGCAATAGTTGACAAGCTATTTTACACTTTATTGTTACGTCCAGTGGACTCGCCCACGATGTCTTCGTTTCATGAACGTTCGACAAGGTAATTGTTAGGATAAAGCGCGAACAAAAAATGCGGGCGTTAAAAGTCACCAATCGGCGTGGCCGACAATGGGTACATCTAGAAGCGACGACCGCTCACTGAGCAAAAAAGAGATTTATCTATTGTTATATGTTTATTTATTATAATTCATATTGTTAATATGTTTATTTATTATAATTCATAACGTAGAATAACTTTGTCTACTATAGATAATCTTTAATATCATCTTTCTTACTTATTTATTACTGTTTATTATTTCTCTAATGCCGTGTTAGCAAGATGTAGCGCTCAGTGAGTGATGGAGCGTAATTTTAAGTCGCTCCATCATCAATAAATAAGTAAGAAAAATGATATTAAAGATTATTTACAGACAAGACATTAGTAGACAAAGTTATTCTACGTTACGAATTATAATAAATAAACATATTAATAATGGATAATGGAAAATAATTTAAATGTCATTAAAATCAATAGAATCGACGGAGACAATTTTCGCGCTCAACCACCTCCTCTTCCTAAGAATCCTTTCCCAGGGCAACTATCAAGTGTTTACATCCCGATACTACTTCCTCAATCACCTTACCTATATCTCGTTCCCATAGAATTCTATAATACAATCTTTTCTCACGAAATCAGACATGCTATTACCGGCCAACCTTCTCATTCGTTCCAGTGTTGCTTTCAAATTCCGCCTATACATATTTAATTCCGATGAAATTCTTTTATAATCTTTTTCCTCCTTCCTCCGTTACTATACGCGAGATAGAAAAAAAATCAGTCAGCACTGCTCACCCTGTTGTAAAATTTCGTTCTCTGGCAATTTAATGTAAAATAATTAATAATAATAATCTCGTCGAGTAGTAAATTTTTCCTTTTTATTATTGTAATATTGATTTGTGTATAAATTAGTTTATAATAATAATAATTTTATTAATATATAACCTTTTTCTTTATTTTTTAGTAATTGTATTGCATTAAACTTGTAATCCGTTAATGATAGATTAGTAATGATTAGTAATAATAAACAATGTTAATAATTTTACATGTCTTTCATTCTCTAAATTTAAAACTCTAAGAGTCGTTAGCTTTGCCTTTTCAAAGATCGCACGTGGTCCAGTCCCGAGTTAAAAGGATTTCTTAATTCGAAATTTGAACCGACGATCGCATCGCTCGTAGGAAACAAGTATCATAGCGTCCTTGCAGGATGTTGACCCATATTCCAAAGGGTCATGACACAAAAAGGGTGCGTTCGTTTCGCGGTACTTGCCTCTGTGCGAAAACCTGAGGCAAGAGTCTGACAGTCTTTCTAAATACTATCATCATTTCCGCTCCTTTTCTCTCCAATAGGATCATAAATTTAAAATTTCCAAGGATTCGAACGTATAACATTATTCTGGCACATATTGACATAAAATGTTAAATAACTCGTAAGCTATTAACTTTTCAATAATCGTACCTTAATACTTTCATAAACAAAATAATGAGATAAATCAGTTGTAAAAAAAATACATAATTGCTTTAAAAAAATATGTATGCAAAATGCATAATTTTTAAAATAAGCACTTATGTTTTTTTTCCACCAACTAATTCATCTCATTATTCTGTTTTGCAGAAGATTCATAATCCACGAGGTTTCAGGTTCAAATCTAATTAAGGTGTTTTTCAATAGGCAATTTGAAATAATTTTAGGTATAATTACTATAAATGTCTTAGAAATAAAATTTATAAGCCTTAAATATGAATGATGCTTCTTTTTTCGAATATTGGACCTGGGACCTCTGGATTATGAAATATTTACTTTCAAGATCGATAATTATATTTCGATCATATTGATTTTTTACGAGCTATTACTTTTTACGAACAGAAGTGGATATCTGTCAAATCTGAAAATTTTGTACAAACTTTTTTACAAACTTTACAAAGATCTATGGTGTGAAATAAAAATCGCACACAACGATTTACAGCAGCCGAAAGAGGGAATCTTTACCTTCAATTTTTTATTAAATATTGTATCATTTTTTTCAACGAGTTATTCAACATTGAAGCAAAAATGATCCTTCTTTTGCTTTGATATTGAATACTTTAATATTGAATACTTTGATATTGAATAAGTTGGTGAAAAAAAATTGTACAACATTCGATAAAAAAGCAAATTGAAGGTAACGATTTACTCTTTTGAATGCTATAAACCGCATTTGAATGCGATTTTTAATTCACGCCATAGATTTTTGTAAAATTTGTATAAAATTTTCAGATTTGGCGAATATCCATTTCTGTTTGTATAGCTCCATAAAAGTCTATCATATCGAAATTTCATTACCGATTTCAAAAGTAGAGATTTCAAGCTTTAAGATTTATTTTTTTAAAAATCTCGTTATGATCATTTTTGATAGAGTTCCTCTATCTTGAAATTTGTCTACTTCTGAACAAATGATTAAAAGATCATTTAAAATATTAAAAGAATGAAAATTAAAATTTATAGATTTCCATGAAAAATGATTGCGAAACAATGTT